GCTGAGGTGCAGCACCTTTGTTCTTCTCTACATTGAAGGCCATCTGGTTTTGGTCAGCCTACCTTGACAGTGTGTCCAGGTCGGCCTGTCTTCCCAGCCTATCCTGTAGTGTGATGACCCACCCCCATAATCTGGTATCATCCACAAACTTGGCCAGTTCACATCTGACTCCCGAATCTAGATCATTGATGAAAATGTTAAAGAATACTGGCCTGAGTACCAAGCCCTGAGGGACTCCACTGGTAACCCTGCACCACGTTGATTTGCTCCCTTCAACTAGTACTCTTTGGGTCTGACCCCATAGCCAGTTGCTTAGCCATCAGACCATATGATGATCAAGGCCACAGTTCCCCAGCTTAACTATGAGGACATCATGGGGAACTAGGTGAAAGGCCTTCTTGAAGTCCAGAAAAATTACGTCCACATCATCTCCCTTGTCCAGGGCATATGTTACCTGGTCATAGAAGGAGGTGAGGTTGGTCAGGCAAGATGTGCCAGTCACAAAGTCATATTTGTGGACATTCAGAAGCTTGCCTTCCGTTAGTCTGGCGTTGATGGATCCCTTGACAATTTTCTCCAGGATTTTTCCAGGGATGGACATCAGACTGCTAAAATTACGTCCACATCATCTCCCTTGTCCAGGGCATATGTTACCTGGTCATAGAAGGAGGTGAGGTTGGTCAGGCAAGATGTGCCAGTCACAAAGTCATATTTGTGGACATTCAGAAGCTTGCCTTCCGTTAGTCTGGCGTTGATGGATCCCTTGACAATTTTCTCCAGGATTTTTCCAGGGATGGACATCAGACTGCTTGGTTTATAGTTCCCCAGGTCATCCCTCCTCCCTTTCTTGTAGATAGGGACCACGTTGGCTCCTTTCCAGTCATCCAGGACCTCGCCTGAATGCCACAATTTTTCAAATATCCCTGGCATGGGGGATGGATGCAGTGATGTCTGCCAGCTCTTTCAAGACCCTTGGGTGCATTCCGTCTGGGCCTTTGCATCATCACTTTTATGCAAGTGATTGCATAAAAGCTCAAAATGCAGTTTTACTTGTATATTGTGTGGGGTGTGCATGGGTATCAGGGGGTATAGGGTAGGTGTGGGGTTTATGGGGAGTTCTGGGTGGGTATGGGGGTTTGTGGGGATGTGTGTGTGTGAGTATGGTATTGTGTTTATGGGAGCCACGGGGTGTAGAGTGGCCGGTGGGTGGACAGGAAAGTGGGGAAAGCGGTGGCAGGAGAGGGGGGGAGTGGAAGTGAGCAGGTGTGCAGGAGCACAGGGTCTGTGGGCCCAGAGTGGGATGGTAGGAGCATGGAGTGTGGGCTGGCAGGGGTCTATGGCAGGGGTTCCCAACCTTTTTATAGTGCAGACCTGCAAATGGTATAATTTATGGATATAAATTTAATTTACATGTTTAAATTTAATTTTTATGGGGAGGTGGGGTTGCGAGGATTGGATGGGGTTGGGGCACTGGGGGACCTGGCAGGGGAGGGGGCTGCACAGGCAGTGGCCCAGGTGGACCCAATTGGGGCTGCCCGGGAAGAGGGGCTCTGCTGCCTTTCCTAGGAGCAAGCAGAAGAGCCACCTCCCCATTCTCCACCTTGGGCATTTCCCTGCCCGCATCCCCCTGCTCCCAGCCGTGGGTAGGGGTGGAAGGTCCTGGCCAGCCTGGCGCAGGCCCCAGTGCACAGGCCACACCTTACCGGGCTCAGCCATGGCACTGGGAAGTGGACTGCTGCCTCCCTCACAGGGCTGCTCCACCGCCCACACCTAACTAGCGGCGGCGGAAGCCACAACTCACATCCAGCTGCCGTGTGCCTGTTCGCTTCCAACCCCACATGCCCCAGCCCTGTGACACAGGCAGGGATGACTGTGATCAGCCCCAACTCTGTGCACCCCGCACTTGCCTGTCTGGGCTGAGCAGCAGTGGCGGTGGGGAACAAGAGATGAAACAAGTGCTGCTCCTGCCTCTGGTGCTCCCTGCGGCAGCTGCCCAGAGCCTATGGGGGGCTGTTATGCCTCTCCTCGCATCCTCACCTCCCATGGGGCAGTGGTGGCAACAGAGAATGGGCACAAGCAGCCCTGCATGGGCTCCAAGCAGATGCCACAGGGAGCACTGGCAGCGGGAGGGAAGGAGTTACTTTTCCCCTGAGCTCAGCTACAGTTTGTTCCATGCTGCTGCTGCCAGCCTGGGTCCTGCGCTGGCTCTGGGCTCACCCATCAGGCTGAGCAGCAGAAGCAGCAGGGCATGAACTGCTGCTGGGGCAGATGAAAGTGCCCCCCGCTCCTCACTGCCGCTGGTTTGCCCACACTGTGCTAGGCTCTGCTGCAGCTCCTTTGCTCCCAGCTGTGTGCTGCCCAGCACAGCTGCTGCACAAGGCCACTGCTGCCACGCTGGGCAGCACAGAACCGTCAGCAAAGGAGCTGCAGCGGAGCCTAGCGTGGAGCAGGCTCTGGCAGACTGCCCAGCAGCAGCGGAGAGGGTAGGGGGGAAGTTGTCACTGCTCCTGCCAGCCTGGGCCCCGTGGCAGCTCCAGGCTTGCCTGATGGGCTGAGTGGCAGCAGTGATGAGGCATTAACTGCTGCTGGGGTGGGGGAAAAGTGGCTGCTCCCCCTCCCGCTGCTGGCACTCCCTGTGTCAGCTGCTTGGAGCCCACGTGGTGCTGCCTGTGCCCTCTCTGTTCTCAGCCCATGGGTGGTGGGGACCTGCAGAGAGGCAGGACAGCCTTGTGTGGGCTCTGGGCAGCTGCTGCAGGGAGCGCTGGCAGTGGGAGAGGGAGGAGCCATTTTTACCCTGCACTGAGCAGCAGCTTGTTTCCCACCACCGCTGCTTCTTAGCCCAGAGGGGCAACTGCGGGGTGTGCAGGGTCAGAGCTGCTCACGGTCATCCCTGCCTGTGCCGCAGGGCTGGGACAGGCAGAGCTAGGAACGAGCAGGCACGCGGCCACAGGGCAGGAGCATGGGACCCACACTGGTGCCCCGGGACCAGCACCAGCAGGGCCCAGAGGTGGAGGCAGGAGCACAGGGCCCCAGCTGGGTGGGGCTCTATGGAGCTGGCCCAGCTCCCCTCTCTCCCTGCTGGCACAGTGCAGCCTGGCTCCATAGACCTCTGCCAGCCTGTGCCCTGCGTTCCTGCTGCCCCACCCTGGGCCTCGCCAGTGCTGGCCCTGGGACACCAGTGTGGGCCTTGCGCTCATGCATGCCCACTTGCTTCCACTTTCCCCAGCCCTACCACCATTTTCCCCACCTTCCTGCCTGACCCCCCACCCCCTTCTTACCTGAATTTCCCGCTCTGGGCAGGGAGGTGTGAACAGCCCCATGGTCCCAGGCCACAAGCCCCTGCTACTGGGGCTCGGGGGCTGGGCTGGGTGGGCCCTGCTATTGCAGGAACCTGCCAGGGCTTCCCTTGGGTCCTACTGCCCCTGGCAGCTGTAATCTTTGACAGACAGCTGGGGCAGATAAATATTAATTTTCTAAATTTTTTAGGGGCCCCGTGAGCTGGATTGAATGGCCTGGCAGGCCGGATGCAGCTTGCAGACCGTATTTTGCCCACCCCTGAACTATGCAAAGTGCTGGG